TATATATATAGATATATATTCCAGTACAGATCACATTTTAATTACAACTTTTCATTTTATATTTGTAAGCACGTACTTTACATACAGCCTCAGCCAAGCACAGATCCCTGATAATTATATAGAGAATGTGGGTCACGTAGTGATGCATTGATAAGGTGGCAGTATAATATTAATACATTGATAAGGTGGCAGTATAATATTAATACATTGATAAGATGGAAGTATTATATTGATACATTGATAAGGTGACAGAATAATATTGATGCATTGATAAGGGGTCAGTAATATATCAATGTATTGATAAGGTGTCAGTAATATATCAATGTATTGATAAGGTGGCCGTACAATATCGATGCATCGATAAGGTTGCCATAGTACTATATTGATGCATTGATAAGGTGGCACTATTATATTGATACATTGATAAGGTGGCAGTATAATATTGATGCATTGATAAAGTGGCCTTATATTATTGATGTATTGAAAAGGTGTCAGTAATATATCAATGTATTGATAAGATGGCAGTATATTATCGATGCATTAAAAGGTAGGCAGTATATTAGTGATGCATTGATAAGGAGGAAGTATTATATTGATGCATAGATAAGGTGGCAGTAAAATATTGATGCATTAGTAAGGTGGCAGTATAATATTGATGCATTAGTAAGGTGGCAGTATAATATCGGTGTATTGATAAGGTGGCAGTCATTCTGCATCAGCAGTCACCCGGCCATTGAATGCAGCAGAGGTCCCGGCTGAGCACAAAGGATGCCGCGGGTGACATTTAACCCTTTAGTGACTACAGTGACAGCAGCACCGAACTCTGTTCAGCCAAGTGACACTGTTGCAAAAACACTCCGCCGAATGTCAGAGCTTGTCACAGAAGATCAAGGCAGATCACTAGGAGATGGTGACAGCAGTGTGACAATGGCTATCACAGAGGTGCCCTGGCACTGGGAAACATCACAGCATTATTGGGTGAGTTTAAAGTCATCCAGGCAGGTCCCAGTAGATGTCAGGTTAGCGCAGTGTGCTATCACCTATGGGAGGGGGTGCCACCTCCTGGTCCGTTCTGCTGCTACCCGGACAGCCGCATCATAGGTGACATTGTAAAGGCAGGTAGAAGATGCTAAGAGATGAATTACATTTACCTTGGGGATCTTCTCTGAAACCCATTCCCCGATGGAGATGTCCCCAGGATGGTGTTCTCCTGGTCAGCGGTGCCCTGCGCCTCCTCTCCTTGCTCTCAGGCAATGGGTAGTAGTGTTTGCCTGTCATCCACCCAGCAGTTCTCCCCGGCTGATCGCCTCCTTCCTCTGCTCTCACACTGCCACCTTGTGCTCAACACACAGGAGCAGCTTCGTCTTATCACAGCACACCGAGTACTGCCCCATGTGAATCGGTGTCAGAGCCGGGGAGGACCCTTTGTGAGAAGTGAGAAGTATGTGCAGCCCCTCCCTGATCTACTACAGAGGAGAAAATGGTTCATCACTCAAGTCATGTACATTTCTAAGACAAATACCCTGCAGAGGGCAGGGACATGAAACAGGCACTACCATGGCTGAATGGCTCCCCCCAGGGCTGGCATATGTAGAAAGTTTAGAAAGTTTATCTATCTTAAGACTAGAGAAGCAGTGCTGAAATCTGATTGGGTTCAATGGAAAAGACAGACATTTCTTTTAGTTTCTAAATCACTCCTGTAGCTGATAATTCCTTTGACCAGAAGCAGGAGCAGTGTCAGGTGTTCATAAGATCTAGTTTATCAAAGTGTCTTAATGAGAAAACCCACTGTGTGAGAACTATGAAGGCTGCCATTGCTGCCATTGTCTTTACAAAATGCTGGTTGCCTGACTCTTTTATTAATGTTAAAGTATCTTTCTTTCTTTTTGTTTTGTTTTCTTTTTTCCCCTCATAGCTCCAATCTGATTGGTGACTGTGGGCAGCAATGGGAGTTTGTATCTAAAATGCAATAAATGTGGCTCAAGCTTATTCCAACACCTGAATGGAGATGTGCATTCATACAGCGGAGCCATTCTCCATCACCTGGGTCCAGGCAATGCCCTAGCAATGTTAATATAGAGTCCAGGTAATACCCTAGCAATGTTAATATGGAGTCCAGGTAATGCCCTAGCAATGTTAATATGGAGTCAGTCATGCTAGCCCCATCTGTGTTAGTAGAGGGGCCCAGCGGCCGCTGAAGTCATCAGCAAGATGTTCTGTAATGATGTTGTTGTTTCAAATAACTTTTTAACTAAACAGCAGGGAAATGGGTTTGTGAACAGGATGACTTCAGTCTGACTAGGAGAGGGGGGAGAGGGGCACAGAGATAGAGGCGGCCTTTGGATAGACTCCGTGAAACTCTCGAGTTGAATTCCAGCTGTTCATCTTTCCATTCTCCAAACCACAAGATGATGTGCCAACTTCATTTGTCAGATTATCCCAGCTCTGAATTACAGGGAGAGGATCAGGAGAACCAGCTTGCTGCAATTTAGCTGCCTGACTTTTAATTAATTCAAAATTTGTATTCAATTAGGAACCCTCGGAGGTGGATATACAACCCAGGCTGAACTTTATATACCATCCTCACTCCAGAGACCCTATAATTAAATGCAAGCTTTTCAATGAAACACATTCACAAGGATGAGCTGGATAGCAGATCCAGGCAAGGGTATAACTGCAGACACTGCTAAATCACATACAATGGTGGATTTCAGGGCTTCTACAACTCTCAATCAGGTGCAATGGGTGGCCAGTATGGTCAGATGGGGGACATCTACTCTACAGTGACAATGGACCATGAGACTTCAGCGCAGTTGCAATGATTCCTAGATTACATTGGCACTGGCAGTTGATGTTTTTGTACTTATTGCCCATAAATCTTCTAAAAGGAAACATTTCCTGGGAGAAACATGTAGAATGTAACTGTTGACCTGATGCTACTAAGGAAAAATGCAGCCAATGTCCCTGAATTAATTTGGTTAATGATGTTAAAGGGTAACGTGAGGACACAAACTAGCGCCCTTCCGTCACCCTAAGCTCAGTATACCGCGAGCTACAGCTCGCGATATACTGAGACGCCGCAGCTGAAACGGATCCTGACAATTATGTCTGGATCCGCCCAGCTGCGTGAGTGACAGCTGACTCTGCCTATCTAGAGGCAGAGCCACTGTACCCGCCCCCTCCCCCGTCCGTTCCGCCAGTCAGCACTGGAGGATCGGAGCGGGGAGGGGGGAATCCAGCCCCTCCCCTGTCACGGCAGAGACCAGTGACAGGATCGAGAGGTGAGCGAACGCCGGTATGTGTTCGCTCACCTCCCGATCTACTGAGCCGACCTGTGGCAGTCTCATTGTCACAGGTCGGCTAGAACTATGAGGAGGAGTGAATTGATGTTAAATTGCAATTATTTTACAATAATGATGTTAAATTGTATGTTAATTTAATGATGTTAACATCATAGTTCTCCTTTAACAGAAGTCCAGACATATCTGAAATGATAATATGTAACCACTTACACTGGCAACATTCAGTATCTCTTTGTTGTTAGTTACTTTAAATGCAAACTGACGTCCTGGTGGTGATTGAGGCTGGGTTCACACCATTTTCCGGACCAGATCTGGAACACAGTGCATTGCATAGGACAAGCAGTATTTCTCTGGTCTGGTCTGTAACAGACTGCGCTGGTGACAGTGGCGACTCTAGGAGCAATATATAGGGGGGCACATAAGATACTACAGTCAAATCTGGGGGGGCACTAATAATTTTAATTGCATGTCGCAACCGCAGGGTGCCGAAAGTATTTTCTTTTTTCTTTTGCCCAGACATAACACTTTAAGGCCACATACAGTATATTTCTATATAATGCCATCAAGGCTTTCACAGTATCATCCACCAATGCGATAAAAAACCTTCCTGGTCAGCAGGAACAGATGAGGGTCCAAATGGTAAAATGCACTCCAGGACTCACCATAGTGTTAGGGCCCATTCACATCACATCCAGATTACCTCTCCCCCCCCCTAACAGTGGCAGCAGTCCCGGCGCTAGCGCAAGGCAAGAGAAATGGAATCCCTGTCCCAGCAGATAACTGTGCCCAGCTGATTTAATTGCGGATGGCCCCTTCCTTGTTTCCAGAACCTATGTAGGGGGAAGTTCTGCGGTACAGCAGGGGAGAACCTCGGCTGATCATACATGGATTGAATTACAGCCATTTTCTGCCGAATCGGACAAAATGTGAT